ATCAAAAGAAATAGATGGGCAGTCTACTAAATTCTCAGTTGTAGTCTGTGCAAGTGGAAGAGATCTAGGTTTAGTAAACAGAAGTCCAATTTGAATCACAACATATAGTCGTAGTCTCTCAATTAATTCCCAAACTTGAGCCAGTTTACACACCCAGAACCACTTGAAAGACAGGGAGGCTGGGTCCCCTTGAGGACTGCCAAAGTTCTATACTGTTAACCTGTCTCCCAGTCTTCCCTAAAGGGGCCTATAACCATTTACCAGAGTGTGCATTGAAGAAAGGGAAATAATCAGACTTTTCAGGGACTACTGGACACTGTTTCTGAATTGATACTAACACCTAGAGACCCCAAATGTCACTCTGGTCTATCAGTGGAAATAGGAACTTACGGATGTCAGGTGAAAAAATGGAGTTTTAGCTCAGGTCCATCTAACAGTGGGCCCAGTGAGTCCCTGAATCCATCCTGTGGTCATTTCCTCAGTTCTGGAATGCATAATTGGAATAGACATACTCAGCAACTGGAGGGATACCTATGTTGTATCCTTAAACTGTGGAGTGAGGGATTTGGATGAGAGATCAGGATGGGTGTGTGGGGGTGGGGCAGGGAGGGGTGAGGGTGGGGGGGCATTGTGATGTGATCAAAGACCCAGAGAAGAGGAAATCCTGCAGAAACCAGGTGAAGGTGAGAAAGGTTTTGTTGGAATGTTATGGAAGTTAAAGTTGGAGTGCTTCAAGATCTAGCCTAAGATGTTTGATATTTGGACTTTAATTTGTGACCATTAGGGAGTCACTGCTGGCTTTCAACAGTAGTGTGGCATGAAGTAAAATTTTGTGCAGGTGGAGAAGGGGTAGAATAATGATGGGCAGGGAGTTACGGATGAATGATGCTGTTCTTGATATTAAGCAGTTTATAGTGGGATGATGAAGCAAATACACAAATCAAGGCAAGATATGATGAAGACCCAAGAAAGGTGTGAAATCTGAGAAAAGAGAGGTTTCGTAGAGAGACTGCAGACGAGAAATGCAAAACTTGTCCATTTAATAAAATGCGTCAGCAATCTGCTTCACCCTCAGATTTCTCAGTTCTTCCCTACTTCTTAAATTAAATCAATATTCGTCATTTGGCTCCAACTATGGCATCTTTTTTGCCATAAGCATCTATTCATGACAGTATCGACATTTGCTCAAAGCTTTTTCGCCTAAACCCCTCTCTTCACATTGCCCACAATTGCTGTCAAAGCAGGGGTATGAAGAGATACAAATAATACAGTGAGTCTTCAGGTAGAGTGAGCTCTTCAGAATCAGTTCTTTTGGTGTTGGCTCCCAGAGACTTACCAGGACCCTGATGGCCTTTTATTATCAGTCAAATGTAAAACACCCCTCTTTGTCCATACTCTAAGGGCTTGCTACTCAAGGCATAGTCTGTAGGCCAAAAACATCAGCAGCACCTGGGAACTCGTTGAAATGCAGAATCTCAGGCCTCATCCCAGCCCTACTGACTAAGAATCTGCATTTTAACAAGAGAGCCAAGGATTCCTACCCATATTAAATTTGAGAAGCTCTGGACTAAATGCTAATCCCTTCATTCTCCAATACAACTTTATTTGGCCTCAGAAGTTGACAAGGAGCAATGCATGCACTTGACACTGAGTTTCGTCAAAGAATCTAATATTTTAGGACTGGAAGGAATCTTAGAAATTATGGAAGCATAAGGGAACCATGTGATTTATCACTCAAACCAGGACATTTTTGAGAGCGAAAGGAAGCGTTATTAAAATATATACCCAGACAACAAGTGAAAAACAAGATTGTCTTGAACAACCTCATTATTGAGCATTTACTATCATCTAAATTTTAAATTGTGAAACTGAATAAAGGAAACCTCATTTAAACCGAGTCAGGAGGTCAGAAGGGGGAGCTATCACGTGCTACCACTCCAGGTCAATTACAGGAAGACTCCTCAATTACAGACCCCAACAGTAAAGAAGTCCTCAACAGGAAAAATAGTCAATTACAGACCCCAATAGGAAGAGAGGTACATTCCATCCTGTTGATGTAAATAATCCAGAATCAATCTACAAATCAAAATTGGGGTGAGTTTATTATGAGCTAACTTTTGAGGACCATAGCCCGGGGGCTTCCTTCCCCAAGGAAGGAAGGGCACCAAAGAAGTGGGGTGTACAGAGCGGTTATATACCGTCAAAGAGTATGTGCAATCACATGCGATTGCAATATCCCTTTTACAATAGCCACAAGATCGCCCTGCCAGATTGCCCTGCCAGATTGCTCTACCAGAATAGCTACTGATGGACACAGCGGGGAGCAGGTCTGCTGTCTCGAGCTGGGTGGTCACAGGATGAGTGCAGCAATCAAATCCTAGCCCAGGGAGAAATGCTTATCCTTAAGGAAATGCCAGTGTGGGGGAAGTTGCATCATTATCTTAAGGGCATTTACTCTTCTCCTTGGGACATGGTAAAGCAGATACACAATGCATGTTTAAAGGCGACAGACCCTGTTGGAAAAACAAACTCAGGCCGAATTAGTTTTACCCCAAATGGCTTCCTCATATGCTCCAGTATATCCTATTGCTTGCCATTTATGTATCAATCCCAACAAGAGATCCACTACTCTAGCAACTCAGCCAATCAGAAACCATCACCAACCTGAACTTGCTTTCCACCAATGGACTTTTGTTCAAAACAACTTCTCCCAATTTCCTCCTTTTTATCTATAAAATTCCTCTCCTTTGCTTGCTGGACTTGCTTATGGCTTTTGCTATAGCTTGTTCGTCCCAAATTGCTATTCCCGAATATACCCAATTTGCTGGTAAAATAACTAGCTGTTTTATTTCTTTAGCTCAACAAAATATATAATCTCAAATCCCAATAACAACCTCTCCAGGTAGGTGTTATTATCCCCAGTTTATAGAGATGATAATCGTAGCGGGTTGAACTGTAGCCTTCCCAAAGATATGCCCGAATCCTAACCTGTGAATGTGACCTTATTTGGAAAAAAGTTCTTTGCAGATTAAGTATAATTAAGTAAAGGATCTCGAGATGAGACCATCCTGGATCAGGGTGGGTCCTTAGTCCAGGATGATAAATGTCTTGATAAGAGAGGAGAAAGGAAGAAGAGAGTTAGGAAGAAGGCCACGTGAAGACTGACACAGTGAGTGGAGGTATGCTGCTACAAGCCAACAAATGCTGGGAGCCACCAGAAGCTGGAAGAAGCAAGGAAAGATTCTTCCCTGGAGGCTTTGGAGGGAGCTTGGCCCTGCAGACACCTTGATTTCAGACTTCTGGCCTCCAGAACCCACAGAATAAATTTCTGTTGTTTTAAGTCATTACGTTTGTGGTAATTTGTTAAGGCAGCCCTAGAAAGCTAATACAGTAAGTGAAGGGTGTCCTAACTACAGGAAGGGAGGAGGGTCCTACCTAGGTTTAATTGAAAGAGCCTCAAGGGGTAGAGTGAGGTGAGTAAAAGGGAGCACTGGGACCACCCACCATTTCTTCTCTACCCTCTCTCTCCCTCATCGGGGCAAAGATGAGCCTATCTTGGCTCTCCTGTGTTTTACCTGAGAAAAAGATGGAGAGCTTTCATACTCACACCAGGCTGCCTTCTGATCTCTGTATAGAGCTTTGTCGTTTACAAAGCAGTTTTATACTCTAATCACATTCGACCCTAAAAAGAATTCATTTTACTGATGAGAAAGCTGCAGCGCAGGACTATAGGAGTTGCTCACGCTTCTAAGTGTCTGCTGGAGTCAATCTAAGACTCCAAATTCCATTCCACCATTCTCTTGTGGGACAATAATTCTTCCATGATAGTGAAAAAAACTAAAAAACCAAAACCAGTTCATGGAGTTTGGTTATGAGCAACAGAAATCATTGCAGATTGTGGGCACTCAGCACCTGAGTCTGAATGGGCAGAAAGATGCCATCTTGACATGAAGCTGCCTGCACTGGGACTTGGTTGGGTAAACTTTGGGACAGTCATTCAGCATTCCTTAGTCATCTTTCTTTGAGGAAATAAAAGGAGGCTAAGAGTTTTGCCTGAATGTATAGTGTTAAATGAGTCAATATAATCTTTGAGGTTTTGTGCTAAATATGTTTGTTTTCAGCAAAGACTTTGGACAGATTTTGGCAATTGTGTTTTCCTTGTTTTTGTAAACTGGCAGACTCTTCATAGGTTTAATTTTTTAAAGCCAAGTGCCTGAAACTTCTTCGTTCATAAGTTGGTTTTTATGACCAAGTTATAATTATTTTCCCCTCTTGGTGGGAGAGGGGAGTTTTGATACTTACCTGGCAAGACGTGCAGAGGACAAATATTTACATTCTTTGCAGGGGGCTGCTCTCCTCCCTTTAGCTCTCCACTTCCTCACACCCTGGGCAGGGGCAGCTTTCTTTGCAGTATTTACTATCAACACTGTTTCAATTCAGTTCGCTGGCCCTCCCAGTTTTTCCAGCTTGAAATAATACCCAAAAGAGACCTGTACGAGATTTGGGTCTCATTCAGTGATGATCTGGAAACCCTGGGCAGCCTGATTTTCTTTACTACAGTCTCAACATCCTTTTTTATACTCATTCTTAAAAACGAATCAAGTCTCTAAGGGACATGAACTGCAGTGAAGTCAATACCCATATAGGGTTTGCCCTTCATTGTTCTAGTAAGGGCTGGCACCGCAGCAGTGCCGGGACTGAATACCAGGCGGCGCGCGTCAGCTTGGTGAAGGCTTGAGCCGGTCTGGCGTTTCCCGCAGCTTCCGTGCGCTGACAGTGTGGGGTGAGTGGTAAGGGAAGCTGTGGCTGGAATCTTCTCCCAGCAAGTAAGCGACCCTCAGCCGAAGGATTTCTGTGCCAGGGAGATGGCAGCTGAGAGAAGTAGGCGACTCGTGGAGAGAGCTTTGTACTCTCCGGATAAGCAAGATAGAGTCCCAGAGCTCCGTAGGGGACGGAGGGGTAGGAGGTGTGGGAGACGTGGAAGCGGCGTGAACCGCGGCTCAGCAGCCAGAAATTTCCTTCTCCTTGAAAGCCCTTCCGAGAGGTCGTTTTACACCCACACAAACAAGACCTTCTCAAGCGTCCCGGACACGTCAATAGTTCATTTTGGGGGTGAAGAAAATGCTAACATTTACAGATGAAAACTCTGCTCCCTAAAAGACCCTTGCTGAGATGGCTAGGGGGAGGCGGGGCGCGGGGAAGACGGGCGGCCGCCCAGGAGGCTGCGGCGCTCTCGGTGCACTTCCCGCCTGGAAGCTCCCCGCTGGGTGGCGGAGGAAGTGGGGCGAGGGCAGCGTGCAGAAATAGGGCGCCGGGCGCCCGAGCGCAGCCAGCCACCAGCCAGTCCTCGGCCTGGGGCCAGTTCCGCCGGCGGCCCGTGTGCTGTGGTGCGGTGAGCCCGCAGGGATCCTCGCTCCGGGAGGGCCTTGGTGAGTCACCCGCTGAGTGTCGCAATCGCCACCCAGAGGAACGCAGGCACAGGGTGAGGCGCGTTCCCGGCTGCGCTCGCGCGCCCCGCCCGCGTCGCGGTGTCCCTGCGCTCGTCCCTCGCTCCCGTCCTGCGGCCGGCGCTCCCAGGTCTGCGCGCGCTGCGGGGACTCCCGCGCGGTCCTGGGCCTCCAGCGGAGAAAGAGTTAACCGGCCGGGACGAGGAGGAGCCCGAAGAGGAAGGAAGGAAATTGCTGTCGTTCTGAAAGTTTTTTCCTTCCTCTGTTCTTTTCCCTGCAGAGGTGAGTGCCGGGAGGCGGCGGCGCTGACTCTCCGGAGCCTGGCTCCGCGCCTCTGCTCCCGGAGCTGCCGCCTGACTGGGGACAGGGACAACTGTCGCGCTCGAGCCTCCTCCGTAGACCCCTTCTGAGAAGGTGCCCCGAGCCATGGAGGGCGCAGAGCTGGCCGGGAAGATTCTTTCCACCTGGCTGACGCTGGTGCTCGGACTCATCCTCCTGCCTTCGGCCTTCGGCGTGTCTTTGGGCATCTCCGAGATCTACATGAAGATCCTGGTGAAAACCTTAGAGGTGAGTACCTGGAGGGATAGGGCGCCCCCGCACCTCGGAGGGCTTCAGGGAGAACCAGGGGTAGTGGGGGCCGAGGATAGAGTTGTGAGAGCCGAGTTGACTCGAGGGGACCAGTTGGGAAGGTCAGCGGTCCGCAGGGGTGTGCTCTCCTCCGCAGTAGCGCGAAGACACCGTCCCAGCTTCTCCCGTAGAGCTGGAGGGATCCCAGCTGAGACCACTGGGCCACGCTTTTGTTCCTCTCATTGAAGACAGAACCACCCCAACTCCTGTTCTGTTACTATTATTATTATTTTTACCGATTACAATAACAGTGCGACCACTTTTTATATCCGTTTCCTTATATCCATGATGCAGTGCAGACATCACTTGACCTTCTTTAGTCTTATCAGCCCTGAGTTTCAGAGGTCCTTTCCTGTCCTAAGTCATCCTGTCCAGAAAGGCATCATGTTCTAGTTTATGCACAAGATAAGAAGGCTATTGCTGGATGATAGAAAGAAATCTGGTTATATTTAACGGAGTCATGGAGATTTTATCTAATCCATGGCACTTCAGATGTCGTTGAAAATGTATATTCTTTGACCTCAGCTCTCCCTACACTCTTCTTTCCAAATTCTGCGAAGAACAGTGTTAGATGGAAGTGAGTCTGGTGGGAGCAACTGCAGCTTCCCCTTAGACAGGGCTTGATGAAATTACAGAGGGCTTTCCCGCTTACTCTCTCCTCAGATGCTCCCCAAAGCCTTGGAAGGTAGGGAGGGCAAGTGTATCCCCCTTTTACGGGTAAGGAAACTGAGACTCAGAGAGGTTCAGTGGTTTGCTTGAATTAAGTGGTGGAGACAGAAGTCTTAACTGAGGAGAGGGCCTGTGCCTAGTGGTTAGGACTACAGACTCTGGGTACAGATTTGCTTAGATTTGATACCAAAATCCCAGCTCTGCTTCTCAATATGTGACTTTAGGGAAGTCACCTACTTCTTGTGCCTCATTTTCCTCATCTATAAAATAGAAATAACAATAACAGCTATTTCCGTAGGGTCGTTTAAGTGAGTTAAAAACATGTCAAGCATCTTAGAAGGGTGCCTATACATGTTAGGTATGACGTTAAGTGTTTGCTGCTATTAAAAGAATAATATTATTATTTAGATTCTAGCATCCTGTTTCTCTAACTTCTACAGTAACTTGTAATATGGGTTCTCATTTTTCTGCCCTTATTTTCTGTCTGCCCCCAGGACTTGGCTTTATCAGTTCTTCTCCCACAGCTAGTAGGGTGGCTCTCAGATATACACCTCTAACTGGCCAATCTCCCACCTACTCATCTCCTGCAAATCTCTTCTACCTGCTAATCTCTGGTTTACCAGATTTTTGTTGCACTTTCTCTTGGTGGCTATTTTTCTGTCTAGTCTTTGAAGTTATATTTGATTCTTCATCCTCAGCCCTCATATTTTAAGAGTTCTGTTGTTTCTACTTGGGAGATATTTCACAGTTTTGAACCTCTCTTATTGACTTCACACTCTGAACTTGGTCACACTATGCTGTGAATTTCTTAGCTGCTTCTTACTGTTAGCTCTTTTTCAGAATACTCTTCCCGTAGCTTGGGGGAATTCTGAAATGATTCAGCTGTTCTCCCATACAGCAATGTCTTTTGGAATTTATACCCCAAGTGAGAATGGAGTGAAGGTAGATCGCACCCACTGGCTCCCAGATGCTGACTCCCGTATTCTTGCTTTAGTAATTCAAGTTTCAGCTAAAGAGATGTAGAGAGAGGCCAGCTACTTGCTGTCAGCCTGGCAAGTACCTACTATGCTTTGTTGGGATATCTCCAGTCCAGGATCTGGTCCTCAGTTTGGCTGGGTCTCGTGTTTTAATTTTTGTCCATCTAGATTTGAAGAGGCTTTCAGAGATGCACTCCTTGTTAATTAGACTCTCAAAAATGCCAATTTTCTAATTGTAGTGGGAGATACACCATTTAGCTTGGAAACCAGGTAGACGGCAGCGTAAGGAACCAGCCTCTTTGCTAAGACTGTGTTGTTAGGTCAGAGAGCTGCTTGGCATATATGGAATTAGTATGGGGATTCATTTTGTGAGCCAACTCTAGGTGTGGTAGCTGCCTGGAGCGCCTGTGTTTGGGAGCAGTTGGGCTCATCAGGAAGGAGCTGTGATCCCACAGTGATACCTGCTTTAGGCACAGGAGAGCAAAATGGCAATCCAGGGCTTTTCATCTTTCAACTAGAAGAACGTTAGATGTTGGAAGAGCGTTAGATGTTTCAAAGACATTTCTCTGGGGGAGGGGGTTGTTAGGAGTACTGTGGATTGTTTTTTCCTATTGTAGGTATAATTCTCTTAAAAATTGTGCTGATTGTTTAGTGTTAGAACATTTTTTTTTTTTTGTGAGGAGATCAGCCCTGTGCTAGCATCTGCCAATCCTCCTCTTTTCTTTCTTTCTTTCTTTTTTTTTTTGCTGAGGAGGACTGGCCCGGGCCTAACATCCATGCCCATCTTCCTCCACTTTACATGGGATGCCGCCACAGCATGGCTTGCCAGCCAGTGCGTTGGTGCGCGCCCAGGATCCGAACCGGCGAACCCCTGGCCGCCACAGCGGAGTGTGCGCACCTAACCGCTTGCGCCACCAGGCCGGCCCCGGAACATCTTTAGTTCTAAATGAATACCCTATCTTTTTGTAGATTCCATTCAAGGCCTAGCCCTTCTGTTACTTGTTATTCCTTATACATTCTCAACTGATTTGGTTGTTTCTTTCTTTCTTTTGCATTCCAGTCCCAAGAATGTTCTTTGGGCTCTTTGATTGGAATTGGATATTTCTCAGGTCTCCTTGGTTACAATTTACATACTATTTTTTTGTTTGTTTGTTTGTTTTTATTTTTTTTTTGTGAGGAAGATCAGCCCTGAGCTAACATCCATGCCAATCCTCCTCTTTTCCTTTTGCTGAGGAAGACTGGGCCTGGGCTAACATCCGTGCCCATCTTCCTCCACTTTATGTGGGATGCTGCTACAGCATGGCCTGACAAGCAGTGCGTCGGTGCTCGCCCAGGATCTGAACCCGGGCCGCCAGCAGCAGAGTGTGTGCACTTAACCCTACGCCATGGGGCTGGCCCCCAGTTTACATACCATTTTATTTTATTTTTATTTTTTATTTTTATTTGTTTTTTTAAATATTTTTATTGCGGTAACATTGGTTTATAACATTGCATAAATTTCAATGTACATCATTATACTTCTATTTCTGCATAGATTACATCGTGTTCTCATGTTCACCACCCAAATACTAATTACAATCCATCACCACACACATGTGCCTAATCATCCCTTTCGCCCTCCTCCCTCCCACCTTGCCCTCTGGTAACCACCAATCCAATCTCTGTCTCTATGTGTTTGTTTGTTGTTGTTTTTACATACCATTTTAAAAGGTCACTTAGGGGCCTGCCTGGTGGCGTAGTGGTTAAGTTCTCATGCTCTGCTTTGGTTGCCCGGAGTTTGTGGGTTCGGATCCTGGGCACGGACCTACACATCACTCATCAAGCCATGTTGTGGTAGTGTGCCACATATAAAATAGAGGAAGATTGGTAGAGATGTTAGCTCAGGGCTAATCTTCCTCAAGTGAAAAAAGAGGAAGGTTGGCAACAGATGTTAGCTCAGGGCCACTCTTCCTCACCGGAAAAAAAAAAGGTCATTTAGTTTTGTACATTATGTGATTAGTTTGATAAGTTTTGTTGACAATGGGTGGCTTTTTCATAACCAAAAACTCAAATTCTGGAGGTTGAAATGTGTGTGGGGTACCTTCTGAATAGCTGACTGTGGTAATTGCAGATTGTCAAGTAACTCACTCAGCTCTATGCTCGTCTTTTACTCCTGCTTAGCTCACCAGTTCAGGTAATAGTTATTTATTGAGCACCTACTGCATGCCACCCTCTGCATTGCTGAATATCTCTAGATGTGTTCATAAGTCTGTGATATGGTAAGCTACTTGAGAACAAGGCTTGAATTCTTAGCTTACAGTAAGTTTAGTGAGTCTCTAAACCAGTGATTTTCAGGGGTATATAATAATTTCTTAGGAGTATATATGTCAACATTATAACTATATAGTGGGGAAAATTGTTTTAGAAATACAAACTATGAAAAGTAAAACTACTGGCTGAGGGGATGTGTAGAGGGTAGTCCATCTAGATGGTAGGGTGTATGTATCTGAATCTCTGGGAGGGTGTGTGTGAAGTTTTTATGTTTATCAAACAGGAGCATGGATTAGAGATTGAAATATGAACTTTCACGGTTCTCAACCGTGAAAGTTAATTATAAGGTTAATGATGGGGATAAGGGTGGTGAAGGATTGCTATTTGTTGGCCTAAGGTTCATGATTAGAGGGAAATCAAGAGTGGGAAGAGAATGTAGGATTGATGGTGAAGAAGGTAGGGGAATGCTGTGTAAGTGATCTTATCTAGCCAGATAATACAGGTAATGGACAGATAATAAATGTCAGTGGACTAAGTTTGCCCTAAACTTTTTTTTTTTGCTTAGGAAGATTCTCCCTGAGCTAACATCTATTGCAAGTCTTCCTCTTTTTTGCTGAGGAAGATTCACCCTGAGCCAACATTTGTTGCTAATCTTCCTCTATTTTGTTTGTGGGTCGCCACCACATCATGGCCACAAGTGGTGTAGGTCCGTGCCTGGGAACCAAACTGGGGCCATTGAAGTGGAGTGTGCCAAACTTAACCACTAGGCCATCAGGGTTGGCCACCCCCCCGCCCCCAACTTTTGAGGAGAAGCTGGAAGCATGCACAGCTTCCTCCAAATTTCTGCTTATGTAACTTTGGGCAGGTCACTTAACATCTCAGCCTTAGTTTCTACGTGTGTGTATAGGAATATGCCCCATAGAGTTATTGTGCAGATTAAATGAGGAGAAGTAAATGAAAGCACTGGATACATAATAGGTGCTCGGGTCTTAGTGGAGTTTGAATTGGAACAATTTTGGTCTTGTTTTTTGTTTTTCTTCTCCTATGTGGCTAAGATTTAACCTACCTTCAGATCTTTGCTGTCAGCACCCATACTCAGAGCAGACTACTCCTGCCTTTTATTTTTATTATTATTCTTTCCTTTTACCCTCTCCTCCATCCACCAGTTAGTTTTCCATCTTTTTTAAAAGGCACGTCAATAATTCGCAGATGGTTGTAACACCTCTGTTATTATAATACTTACGTATTATCCTTAGTGTTGGAAATACAGAAAGTATGACGGAAAGTAATAATAAAGAAAAGCTACCAAAGCAATGTACTTTTCTTTTAACTTAATTCCACAACATCTCTGAGATAGGGTCTATTATTATTCTCATTGATAGATTGGGGAATGAAGGTTCAGAGAGGTAATTATCTGGGCAGGGGCATAGAGCTGTCAGTGGTAGAAGCAGAATTTTAGTTTGAATCTAGAGCCTGAGTTCTTGCTCCACCAAGATGACAGCCTCTGCCAAGAAACTTTTATTTTGCTACAGATGTTGGCCAGCTATTATTTGAGTAAGCCTAATATTTTGAATTTATATATAATTTTGTGCATTTTTCCTATTTCGTTCCCTCTCCTTAGTCAATTCTTAAATGTGTTTTTAGTGTAAAAACTGAAGAGTGAATAGTCTAGGTGACAGTGTCACATTTTTGCAAGCTTTTGGCCTAAACTTGAAAAATCAGATTTAACCCTTTCTTTTTGATGACTTGTAGACAGCTACTTTTTTCCATCCAAGAGGATTTTGAAATTAAGTGGAGTGAGAACCTGATTGAAAGTGTCTTTCAACTTTCCTTGGTAGGGAGAGTGAGATGGGGAGTAGAACAGGGATTGTTAGAAGACACTATTGTGCTTCAGGGCCATCTTGCAGACACAGCTGTATCTTTCGTGGTGCCTTGAGGCGGATGTATTCTGAGATGCCTCTGGAAGAGATTAAGAACCTCGAAAGTGGTATTTTACCTTTGTATTTGGGCCTACCTGATCAGCTAGAGAAGCTGGCATGGTAAAAAAGAAATAGCTGTTTATTGGGAGATGCACTGATGGTCCAGAAAAAATTGATCATTTTGGTACCTAAAGTGTGGGGTGTGGGGCAGGAGGAAGAAGCCAACATTTTTCTACTTTGTGGCCTACTGCCACATTGGATAGATTATCTCCTTTAATTTTTACAACAACCCTTTATACTTTCTCTGGTTTAGAGATGATGAAACTGAGGCCCCAAGAGGTTCAGGTCTTCTGTCTGAGATGATTACAGCAGGGAAGTGGCAGAAGTGTAGTTCGTGTGTATAGCTGGCTGCAAAGCATGGGCACTTTTTCGCTTTCACTGGAGAGTAAGCCTGAAGAAGAAAATGGTTTTCCAGTACAGCTTCCCTTTGGCATTAAATGACTTCTCCTCCAACCTTAGAATGTTCTAGTCTTGAACACTGTAACTGCATTTCGTAGGACAGACCTTTGGAGTCATCATTTCAGGAGAGGTTATGCATTCTGAGACTTGTCTGGTCACGGAATATGGAGCTGTTTCTAGCACATCATGCTATTTGAGGAATGCTCCTGCATTAGTTTGCTCAAGCTGCCATAACAAAGTACCGCGACTGGGGGGCTTAAATAACAGAAATCTATTTTCATACAGTTCTGGAGGCTAGAATTCCAAGATCAAGGTGTTGGCAGGTTTGTTTTTTTTCTGAGGCCTCTCTCCTTGACTTGCAGATGGCTGCCTTCTTGCTGTGGCCTTTCCTTTGTGTGTGCACATCTCTGGTGTCTCTTTGGGTTTTTTTTTTTATTTGTTTTTGGTTTTTTGGTGGGGAAAATTGGCCATGAGCTAACATCCATTGCCAATCTTCCTCTTTTTGCTGAGGAAGATTTGCCCTGAGCTAACATCCGTGCCCATCTTCCTCTATTTTATATGTGGGACGCTGCCACAGCATGGCTTGATGAGTGGTGTCTAGGTCCACGCCTGGGATCCAAACCTGTGAACCCCGGGCTGCCAAAGCAGAATTTGCAGACTTAACCACTATGCCACCGGGCCGGCTCCCCTGGTGTCTCTTTGTGTGTCCAAATTTCTTCTTATAAGAATACCAGGCTGATTGGATTAGGGCCCACCCTAAAGATCTCATTTTAACTTAGTCACCTTTTTAAGGGTCATATCTCCAAATACAATTACATTCTGATGTACTGGGGTTAGGGCTTCAACGTGATTTTTTGGGGGGACCCAGTTCAGCCCATAACAGCCATAAAATATCAATATTTTCCATAATATGAGCATGGAATAATTGTCCTGGTCTAAGGTAATTACTATTTATATAAAATATAAAATCACATGCCTGCAATAAAGAAACTGAGCTCCAAGGTTAACAATGATTGATTGTTTACAATATTTTATTTTAATCATATCTTCGGTCTACTTACAAATAAGTACCAAAGCTTTAAAGTGAAAAATTATGGAAATAAACCTTTCCCTCTATTGAGAAGAGATGGGAGGTGTAAGTCTAGAGCTGGAGAACTCCTGCACTAAATCAGCAAGGAAGAGAAAAGGACGCAAGCAGATTAAGACGAGTCTTATTATCATTTGTGACTTGCCACTTGAAGCCCAGAAGATTAGGCTGCTATTTATAGGGCATGCTCTACATGCAAATGGCATGTTTCCGCTTTTTCTCTTTGCGATGTCATACAGGAGTCCTGACGTAGTCAGATCATGCCTTACTCCTTAACTTTCATGTCTGGGTTTTAGGTTATTTATTCTCTAACAGTTATTTTTTTATTTATTTGAAATTCTTTTTTTACCTCTCTGTTTAATCCCTCCGAGTCTAGCAATAACTGAGGTTTTTGCCTTGATATATTTAATAAATTTTGTCTTTTTACCCCTCCAAGGGTGCTTAAGTTCTAATTATAATTATTACAATGCCTTATACCTCTTATTCATCCCCCTACCCAATCAGTCAATTTAGACGTTGTTAGCTTCTGGAATTGTAAGCATCTAAATAATATTTGAATTACTCCTTTTCTAAACTAGAAAAGTAGCCATTGAGATTTTCTGGAATGCTGTCAGCAAAGTTCACTTACCATTTTTGATG